CGCCAGAGTGTGCCCCCACCCCCATCCGTCAGGGAGGCAGGGCTGGTAATGTCTAAATAGGGGGTGAGTCTGTGGGAAGAGGGCCTCCAGGATGGGCTCCTGAGCTGCTTGAGGGCAGGGCTGGGTCCATCCCCCACCCCCATCCGCGCACATAGGGTTTAGCTGAGTAACTGCGATTCACTTGGCCAGCATCTGCCTGGCTCTGTGCTGGGCAGGGCCAGAACTGGGGAGGGACCCAGAGGCGAACAAGTAAACATCTCAGGTGGGAGGAGGCCGTGGAGGGGTCCACCAGGGAGGGCAAGTGAGTAACTGCTCAGAAAGATTGGGTGGTTACTGGACACCCAAGACAGGGCAGGAGTTTGGGGGTGGCTGGGGCAGGGCAGCCCCAGCCAGGAATGGCATGTACAAAGGGCAGGGAGGTAGCCCAGGGAATTTGGCACCGAGCGTGTGGGCGGGGGAGGGCAGGCGAAGGCAGGGCCCAGACCAGACTCTACAGAGGTGGAGGAGCCCCCTGCTCTGGGGGTGTTTTAAGCAAGAGGACCCTTCCTCGTCCCATTTGGGTCTCATCCCAGCCTCGGTTGGCAGCTGAGGCAGAGGTGCTTACCCACATCAGACAGCAGGCAGAAGAGCCCAGGTGTGTGATGCGCAGATGCTATGAATGTAAGCAGGTGGGAGCCGGTGGGGGAGGGGGAGGGGAGGGGCCATTGTCCTGGGTGTGACCCCTGTGGGTTGGGCAGGTGAAGTGTGTGTGGGGTGGGGGAATGAGGGTGTCTGGCCCGCTTCCATCCATCCCGTCTTAGCCACCTACCTGCCTGCACGTCGGGCACCTGGCCTTGCTCCCCAGGGAGAGGTCCCGCTGGGCAGCGTGCAGCCCAGATTTGTTGACACTGGTGGGGTAGCCAGGGCCGGGGCGTTTGTGCAGGGATGCGTCACGCTCCAGGGCTCAGGACTGGGGGTGGAGGGGGCCCAGAGGGGGAGGGAATGAGGGGTAAGGAGCCACACGGGGTGTTCTGCCCCCCCCCCCGCCACAGGCCCTGGAACACAAACAGTGGCTTCACAGGCGCCCCCTGCCCCTTTACCCCCAGCACTCAAGAGAATGACCTCCACCTTCCACTTTGAACCTGGCTCCACATAGAACGTTTATTGAGCATCTGCAATGCAGTGAGTGATGTGTCCCATGGTGGCTGGGACCAACCCACCCTCAGGACACCCCCACCTCCCTATGACACCCATTTTTCGAGCACTATGATGCCTTGAAGCAGCTTGACCCCTTGCTTTGTTCATCACCCCCAGAGTCTGGGGTCCCCAGCACCAGCCCACTGGCCACCCCTAAGGCAGTGCCCTGGGGTCCCTGGGCCGAGGCGACGGTGAGGCTCAGCTGGGATTGGGGGCATAAAGCCCCTTAGGATCTCTGGATCATCACCTGGAACTTACCTGGAAGAGAAGGGCTGGCTTTAGCTTGAGGCTGGAATCTGAGGGGAGAGGCAGAACGCACCCAAACAGCTCAGGCCCTGTGCCAACAGCCCGGGTGGCCTCACTGGTCAAAGGGGTTGATGCTCTCGCCCACCTGGCCTGCATCCCAGGGCTTTGTGTGACCAGGGGCATGAAGGCCAAGCATGTAGGCTGCGGGGAGAGGCCCGGCAAGGGCTTGGGTGGCATGTATTGCTCAGGTCCTAACCACTTGGGCCTGAGGGGCCCCCATGGGTGGGACCGGCAGCTCAGCAGAGGGAAAAACAACTGGGTGGAGGGAGGCAGAATGGAGAGTTGGCTGCAGGCTGCCCCCAGGTAGGAATGGGGTTCAGCGTGTCTGATGGAGGACCCTGGGGGTCAGAACACCCCTTCAGTCAGGCTGCAAGTTACATGGGGTCTGGCTGCCTTTGCAGCCCCCATTTGGATGACTTCTATAATGTCCACCTGGGTTCCTGTTCTAGGAGACCATTGAGACCACTAGACCAGGTCATCAAGCGTTCTCTCTGGGCTGGCACACACCTGGGAAGCAGGCTGGGGGACCTCAGGGGCCAGGGGCATGGATGGGTCGCACCTACTATGGGGCTTGGCACGTAACTTAAGTTCTCAGGGTGTCAAATTCCCCACCTATAAAATGGGGCTCAGTGACCCGGCCCTCAGGAGAAGGGACAAAGGACTTGGGAGCCCCCACCACACTCAGCAATGGCAGGACCCCCCCCTCCCCCAACAACTCACAGGCTGGCAGGGCTGCCACGGAGGCGGTGACCAGGCTCTTGATGCCCAGGGTGCTGAGGGTGCCACGCAGGAGGCCACAGGTGAAGGCCAGGAACTGGGGACAGGGGGCAGGGCAGGAGGGAGCACAGGTCACTATGGGAAAAGGAGAGGCCAACACCCAGGACTGGAACAGGGCCACGCTGGGCTTTGGGCTTCACAGCGGGGCCAACCCCTTGGCCTGGGGAGAGGCTTACCTTGGGGTAGGGGCTGGATAAATAGGGGAAGTGAAATGTGGGTATCTCTCAGCACCCCCATACCTTGGGTGCTTCCTCCACATACTGCAGGCCCGAGGACATCCGGATGAGGAAGGGGAAGCTGTTGTCCTGTAGGACGTAGGTCCCCTAGGAACAGAGGAGAGGCTGTGGGGGCTGGGGCAGCACCTGTGCATTTGTGGGGGGCGGGAGGGAGAGAGGAAGCCAGGATGTCCAGAAGGATCCTTCTCTCAAAACCACTGTGGGGCCGGCCGAGTGGCGCGATGGTTAAGAACTGGCTTGGGGGCCGGCCGAGTGGCGCGATGGTTAAGAACTCGCTTGGGATGCCAGAGG